TTGGCAAAGTGGATGTACTCAAAACTGAAGTTCCTCCAAGGCAATTCGACTACCTCAGTTCGATCAGCCTCTCAATTCCTCATAGACCTCCGAGGTCGGAGAATTCAATCGGACGAAATCATGGTCTCCTTCGATGTGACGTCGTTATTCACATCTATCCCACCAAACGTGGCCCGCGAAGTCTTGCGCAAGAGACTTGAAGAGGCGTACGATGAGACTCAGAATGCCCTCAAAATTGAACACCTCATGAGGCTGTTTGAATTCTGCCAACAAACTTTCTTCACTTTTGCGGGAGAGACCTATGAACAAATCAAGGGAACCCCAATGGGCTCACCGGTCTCCGGTTTGGTGGCAGAACTGGTCCTACAGGAGTTGGAAAAGATTGCCTTCCTCCAACATGAACCGGTGTTTTGGCGACGTTACGTTGACGACACGTTCGTCATCGTAAAGAAGGACATGCTGCAACATTTTCACAGCCTGCTCAACGCAGTCTTCCCGGATATAAAATTCACGAGAGAAGAAGAACAGGAGCAGCAGTTGCCCTTCCTGGATGTGCTCGTCAGACGAAACCTTAACGGTGAACTTGAAACGACGGTTTATAGGAAGGCAACGAACACCACACAGCTTCTCAGTTTTCACAGCAACCATCCGGTGGCTCACAAACGAAGCTGTGTGAAGACACTCTTCAAACGGATCCAAACTCATTGCAGCAAACTGGAAGATAGAGCGCGTGAGGCCCGTTATCTCCGCGACCAGTTTGTGCAAAATGGCTATCCGAGGGCATTCATAAGTCGCTGCCTACGCGGTCGCCACCAGAGAACTCAAACATCAACGCCACCGACGATATGGCATTTTCTGCCATACATCAAGGGTGCTTCAGAAGCGACCGAACGCATTGCTGCGGAGCTAGGGGTTGGAATCGCACACCGCCCCAAAGCCACCATGCGCAACAGGGTCATGAAGATCAAAGACCGGTTAAAACCCGAAGAGCAATCTGGAGTAGTGTATCGCATTCCGTGTCAAAATTGTCCTTGTAATTACACAGGACAGACTGGACGCATGCTCGGATCGCGCATACATGAACATAAGCTGGCTGTGAGGCGAGGCGACGCATTGTCACAAGTGGCCGCCCACACCTACGAAATGGGTCACGAGTTTGACTTCGCAGCCACCAAAATAGTTGCCCACGCCGAAAACAAAACAGGCCGAGAATTGATTGAAGCCTGGGCCTCGGATGAGAACTCGGTCAATCGATTTATCGATCTGGCGCCGGCGTACAGAGCCCTTCGTAGTCACCTCCAGTCGTGCGACGTCGGTCGATGATTGGGTCTACGTGCCTTATAACTGCCGCTTGTCCTGTTTCTGCCACTACCTCTGACGATGGACTCCTGTACGAGTCTGAAAGCTCAGGTGCTCGATTCTTCTTCTTCTTCTTCTTCTTCTTCTTCTTCAAATATGTATACGCCTGGAACTCGAAATTTTGCCTTCATTCGTGAAATTGCTGAAAATTTGTCTTACACCGCGTCAGACCTAGCGCCAGATGGCTTGGATGAACGACTGTTGCTTGGGAGAGGGCAGAAAGAGACAGAGGGAATGCCACCGACACCAGGGAACACGTTTCCACTGCACAGCAGCACATTCCTCCCCATAGTAAATTTGACGCACTACGATCTATTTGGATGTGCTAAAAGTCTCGGCTTGGAAGACTTCAAACTAACTGGGTATCTCGGCCATCGTAGTCAGCACCGTGAGTTTATGCGGTGTGACTGACTCTAGGACTGGGAGGGGAGCTTGTGGTGTCCCTCCTTCAGGCGCCTGTCTCAACGCTGGGCCTCGCGCGAGTGTCTGCACTTGCGTACCAGGGCTGTCTGGCATTAGCCCACTCGGATCTCCAACTAGCCAATCAGATTCAAGGTCGAGTCGGGCGTGTTCTGGCGTAAGACAGGGTGAGGCTTTCCCTGACAGACACCGGGGAGGCTACTCACCCGGAGCCGGGCACCGGCTGCCAACTCTCTCTAACTCCTCCAGGGACGTCCACTTTCTCTTTTCATTCGGGACCGGGCCTGAGGGTTGTGGTAGCCAGGGTCTCACTCGCGGCCTAGCCTATCTACGATAAGCTCAGTGGCTCTTTCAATGGATCCCTCACGAATGTGAGATCTGAGCCGCTCCCAGTTCTATGATATCTTGGTGCTCTGTGCGTAGAAACAAGGTCGTATGTGGCAGACATAGACAGGCTGTTTAGCCATAGTAACCACCGCGCCTGAGCTAACCTCCGAGTGTCTTGACAGTGGGACCTGGTAGTCGGGGAGTAGGGAGTGCGGCTGGTGCTACGCAGGTCTCCCATCGCTTTAAGGTAATTCTAGCACAAGTCACCGGTGCTACACCTACTCCATAGGGCGCACTGTTAACGCCGTCGCTTTTGACGGTCAAACCCTCTACCCTTTATGACTGAGTAGTGCGGTCGCACCTGCAGATTCATCACAGTGGGGCTGGTGAAACACTGTCAAGAATTCAGACTATGGCGGCTCGCCGCAATCTTATGCGTCGAGAGAGAGAGAGGGACTAATTTGGGGGTCGCCGTGCGTCAAACACAATCCCAGAAGAATGTTTGAAGTTAGTTCCTGGCTTTCACTGTCCACCCAGAAATGCCAAAAACCAGTTTTAGTATTAGACTCTACAATATTGAGGAACTGCGGAATTTCGTTTAAACTTATGAATTGCAAGACAGGGCGGTGTGCCTAATTCAACAGTAATTCTAGCCGTTAACACAGACGCGTTGCGCTTGAGGGCGTCACAAGATATTCAGTCGCTTTTCCTTGGGGACAAATGCTGTCCTTTTCACACCTGTCCGCCTTCATTCCTGCAAACGCTTACTTTTTTCCCGAGGAAATCGCTAGCGGGAAAAATTATATCGAGAAAAAGCTGCTTTCTCAAAATGACTTCAATCTTACTGCTTTCTATCGAATTTGCAATTAATAACACTATTGTTGTGCATAGTAAGGAATGCCTGTTGGAGACGTTTATGGCGGAAAATTTAAATAACAAGATAACGTTTCATGCCCCCGTCCGTTTGCTAGGTATGTTTTTCCTCACTGGACTATACATTAATGGAAGTGCGGAAACTAACTTTGTAAAATAAAAATTGCTGAACAGGTGTTCGCAAGCTCACATGGGTGTACTTTGGATTGCAAGCGGAGGCACATGAAACGTCAGTTGAAGCCTCCAATTGGCATCTCACTGTAAAACAATGAATTCGGTTAGTAAACACAGAGACACACTGGTTGCTGGGTGACCATTAGGGACAGATGACCGAGTAAGTAGTTAAATTTTTCTGAGAATAAATTTGGGGCTTATTTAAGTCAGTTAAGGTCTAACGTCGCACCTCCTTCTCCGTACTTTAAAGTTGAAGAAGAATGCATCTTAATTTTGAACATGCCTTGATATGTTTGCGGGCAACTAACCCTTTTAAAACCACATTCTCGTCCACTTTTCTTGGACAGAAGAAAC